AATTGGACTTTGATCAATATCTCAAAATCGTGGTGAAATACCAAAAAACTGATGTCTGTTTAAAAAGGTGGTTTTAAGTGGTTAACGGAAATCAATTATTTTCATAAATTAATAAGTAATAAGCTTCCACAGTATTGCTCAAAATCGAGAAACGCTCTCTAGCGGCAAAATGGTTCAAGATATCAGAATGCGGTTTGCACTAATCAAGATTTTATGAAATTTGAGCCTCAGAGTGGGGTGGTAATTTTTCTGCATCTCTCTAAGAAATTGACATTTTCTAATTGCGCCACCCTGTACTTTCCTTCGTATTTTTTTCTTGCTAGTACATCAACTTAACGGTTATCTTCCGAGCAACTTTTCAGGCAAATTCACACAGTTATCAGTTTTTCTTTCGCTAAGAAGCCTATAGATTGTTGATTCACTGATCCCTGTCATATTGGCACATGTGTAGTTTACATCTTTAAGCAGTTAAAGGCTTCTGATGCACAAGTGCATCATGTAGGAACCTACATTCGATACTATAGACCTGGCTTTGGAATTAAGAACGCCATTACATTTTACCGGATTAAAGCCTGATGACATTTTTCCAATAAATTAGCAATGCAAACACACAATATATGCATACCTATTATGCACCACTAACAAGGGCAAAGTTCATACTGAATTGCCATTGAATAACCCAACCAAACTATGGTTACCTGGGTCACATGGCTGCGTATGGTTTATAATCGCTTTATGGTCATCGATCCTTTTTTGCCTTTCCTTGTGCTCCTGAGGAAAAGGAAACAGAGTATAATTGACACATTGGAGACGATTAAATTAAGGAATGTGATGATTAATGGAAAAATTGATGACGGGAAAAAAATAAAAAGTCTTATCATGCAGATCAAATTTAATATTTGTATATTTTCTAATAGGTTGCATTTACCTGGTTGTTTCCAAAATTCAATTTTGATTTAATTACTCAATGTTTGCAAACTTTGCTTTTGTTATTCATACAGGGTGGGAAACGAAAAACTTCCCACCCAGGTTTTCTCAGGTGTTAGGTGATTAGTTAAAAATCGCTCGAACACGTCAATTTTTGTTTTTTGGAGGACACATTTTATTGGTATTTTCATCCCCTACCTGTCAACCCCTAAGTGGCGGTGACCGGTACCCCCAAAATTTCAAATAGAAAGGGGGGTCGAGTGATACGTCATTTGATAGCTATTTTCCGTAAGATTATTTCCCCGAAGTTTTAAGTTGCTACTATTTACCCTGTCGAAATGGTGGCTTGTCAAAGTTAGGAAGAATCAATGGAAAAATGCTGTGTGGTTTTTAGCTGTTACCTACGCATAGGTGTGGCAGGTAAAAACTATACAGTTTAGATTATCGAAAAAAAGCATTTATCCTAAATTTGACATGCCGCCATTTCGACAGAGTAAACACTAGCAACTTGAAACTTCGGGGATATAATCTTAATGAAAATAGCTACCAAATGACATATTACTCGACCCGTCTTTCCATTTGAAATTTTGGGGGTAACTGTTAGCCCCACTTAGGGGTTGACAGGTAGGGGGTGAAAATACCAATAAAATGTGTCCCCCAGAAAATAAAAATTGACGTGTCTGAGCGATTTTTGCTTAAACACCTAACATCTGAGAAACTCTGGGTGGAAAGTTTTTCGTGCCCCACCCTGTATTATTATTACACACTATTGCTATTCGCTATTCTCCTAACAAGTGCGGACAATAGTATCTATTGTATGAACGAGTGACGAAAACAGCATTTTTTGGTAATGTTTCAAAGTTGCAGAAAATGATTTTTGACGAAAGTTATTTATTTTTCAATGGTCATAGAAAAAAAGTTTTTTGCAGATGCTAGTTTGTTTGGACATTAGAATATTTGGATTTTGTTGGAATTTTTGACATTTTAATACAACATTATTATTAACACCAGCATAATCTCTGCCATTTTCTTGACAACCGAAACTAAGATGAACTGTTTTTTCCTACGAGCGTGCGGAAAAAGAAACCTTTGGCATGTACAAAAAGCACGCCCTGTTGTGTTCCTAACACTTGCGATAATAGTATATTGTGCAACAAGTGTAGAAAATAGCACTATCCACACGCGTTACACACTATACCTTTTCTACGACTACGAAATAACAATATTCACATTGAGATTGATATTAAATTTTTTTTTTTGTCAAAAAATTAACGAAAAATTATTATTTGAGGTTATAATAAACGAACAATTTTGGTACGTGATTGCAGAACAAAAATTCAGTGGAAGTGTCATTTTTATTTTAGCGTGCGATAATTACTTTTCGCATGCTCCAGAGCGTATGAAATATTCTGCGAGTGCGAAATAACTATATTCACATTGGGATTTTTTTTTTGTTAAAAAATTACTATTTAAGGTAATTAATTATTCAACGAACAATTTTGGTACGTACGCTGAATGCACTCAAAGTTGCTTACAGAACAAAAATTCAGTGTCATTTTAATTTTAGCGTGCAAAACGTACTTTTCGCACACTCCGAAGCGTGCGAAAAGAACTTTTCGCAGGCTGTGGGGAATAATTGATTTTACAGGTAAGTTAGTAGTGCGTTTTGCGTTTTTAATAACTTCCTAGAGTAGTCGTTGAAAAATGGTATTTCCCGAACTTATTAGGAAATGTGCAACAAGTGGTGAAAATAGCACTTTTCACACGCGTGGGGAAGTTTGGTGGCACAACCCGCAGGCGAGTGGCACAAACCACACAAAGTGCAAAGTGCTTTTCACACGCGTTACTTTTTCTACGACTGCAAAATAATTATATTCACATTGAGATTTAAATTATTTTTTTTCTTTGTTAAAAATATTATTTAAGGTTATAATCAACGATGAATTTTGGTACGTACGCTGAATGCCCTCGGAGTGGCTTACAGAACAAAAATTCAGTAGAAGTGTCTTTTTTATTTTAGCGTGTGAAAAGTTACTTTTAGAAGAAAAAAAATAAGATCGGTTTTGCTCAAAAGCTAACCGTTTAGGTTTTACAGCCTGTCAAATTTACAAAAAAGTCAATTTTCAACTGTCAATATTTCCAAAACAGTTGAACTTAGGTATAGGGTAAATCACATGAAACCTGCTCAGAATTTGACGTAGAATCCGAATATTAAATAATATACAGGGTATTCAATTTAAAATAAGAAAGTTGGAGCACGACCAGCTTTTTTGAAACACCCTGTATATGCAAAAGTCAGTTTTTCAAAAAATTTAATTTCAACCATACATTTTTTATATGGGACACTTTTTTCTAAAATGTCAAATAAAAAAGATAGAGGGGGGTGACATTTATAACCAATAACCCTGTACCGTCGCGATTTTGGGCAGAGTTTAAAATTTGTGCGTAGAAACCAAAATTCGTTCACTGAGTGGTTTCGAAGCCGTTCATGGGACGGTTTTTGACGTGTTGGAACAGACCTATAATATATTTACTATCCGGGATAATAATAATAAACTACTATGGTGGCGTGGCGTGACGCTGATTTCAGTCCGAACATGAAAATGCCGAGAATGGCAACACCGCATATAAATTGTTTCGTGGTTCTCGCCAAGCTCTTGTTATAGTTGACTAACTCAATATGCCAGACCTCGGCCAGAAGCAATATTTATCACTGAAATAGTAATGTATGTAATTCAGGTTTTATGGCTAGAACTAAGAGAGGTGGAGCTGTAGGGATTTTAATAAAAAGTAATCATTCTTTTATTCAGCAGTACCCAGTACTCTTTAAAATATTAACTATGTGCCTACAGGAATTACAGGGCACCCTCAAACTTTTGTCGACTATGTGTTATCTTTTTCTACAAGAATAGGATAGTTGACCATCCTATAAGTGACCATAGAGTGAACCTTTTGCAAACTACTCAAATGAATACTCAATGACCATTCTAAATAAGTCTAAATTTAAAGTGCAACTTCTTGATCTCAATAGTTGTGAGTGGAATGATCTTAATATTTTGTCTGATGAAATAATGATTACTTATTCAAGTGATAACATTTAAAGACAGATTTCGCAGGAAAAGTGCTCCCTGGTTTAATTTGCACTTGCATGAACTAGCGCAGACTAGAGACTACCATTTGGTATAAAAGATCCAAAAAGTTCCCAAACAGTAAATTTCTGCGTCATGTTTACAAAAAAGCCCAAAACATCTTAAGGCAGGAGGTGAATAATTTAAAGAATTTAAATATTTTTTTCACAACTTGAAGAAGCTAAAAATTTACACCCACATAATTATTATCATCCGCCACAATTGATTTCAGAAGTTCATTCTCAATCGGAAACCAGTCTCAAATGATGATATATCAGTATCAGAGATTTATTGATGGTATGAAGAGCACAAAGAAGGGATAATTTCAGTATAAAGATTCTTAAAGAATTTAAGAAAGAGTTTTTCCCAATTTTATGCGAACTACCTACCTAATTCAACTTATTTACCACCTCCAGCAGACCAAATTCACTAAATAGGGCCATAATTGTACCAGATTCTGAAACTGGAGACTCTAAATCACGAAGCAACTATCGGTCATTCTTTATTCTTCCCGCAGTGTTCAAAATATGGGAAGCCTACTGTCTCAACAATCAACTTGTGTATTTCCTTGAATCATCTAACGCCTTTTTCAAATAGCAGTATGGTTTCAAAGTAAACTCAAGTACAATTCCGACAGCTAGAAATCTAGTTATCGATATCTATTCGAGGGAAGACAAGGGTAATAGCTGTGTTTTGGTTTCACTGGAACTGCAAAATATTTGAGATTTTTAGGACACAACAATGCTGACAATATTCTGAAGCTTCCTGCGATTGACTTTAATTTCAAGATTGTAAAATGGGTACTCTATACTTAATCTGCTTCCTAAAAATGTAGTATCTGATTTTATTTTATTTTATTAAAATTTATTTATCAACATAATTTAAGAAATAAATTATCAAACTAGTTTAAAGTCTGACTAAAATATATCTCTCTGTTTGTTACAGGTAAAAAATGGCGATCTCTGACACCACAAGACCGAAGGCCGTTTGTGGAAGAGGCCGAAAGGCTTCGCGTTATCCATATGACTGAGCATCCGAACTACAAATATCGTCCTCGAAGGAGGAAGCACAATAAACAACGTGCTGCTCCAGGAGGTGGTCCTACAAGAGCCGCTGGATCGCTGCCCAGCCCTGGATTAGCGAGTATGTCACCAAGGTAAGAACTGTGAAAGTTGAAAAGTCTCATCCGCAATCGTGGCGAATCTATTTCAAGGTGACCTCCCAAGGGAAAATGTAGTCACGAAATAAACATGGTATTGCCTTGTCATCCTGCACGTGAACAGGTAGTGCATTGGCTCGTTCCCTATTCTTTTGCTCGTTCAAAGTATGTCTATCTTGAAAGTAAATAGAGATTAGTTAAGGCAACGTTATGATATCTTTGAATTTTTCGTACTGAAATCAATCAAAACAGTTTCCAATTCTATCAAATCCAAACTATTTTGGAAAAGAAATCTATGATTAATTAGAGTGTGTGGAATTGTCTCTTCTCCCCTAACGTTCCCCTAGCTCAAGTGGTTCACATCTTCCTTTTCAGAGGTCTGATTCAGTGAAAGGTTCCTGGATGCTGAACACGGGAGGCAGGTAGTATTCATATTTCGGTGCTCATGGCGAGGTTAGTTCCGATGGTGTCCTTCTAACGTCATGGTTGTTGGTTTATGCAACAGCCTCGACGACAATTAATGGTTCATCAGCGATTCTCGTATTTCTGAGGGCCGTATTTGGAATTTTGCTTTACTGTGAGGTTATTGATATTATTTCTATGGGGCAGCATTTCAGTATAGGTTGATAATTCTATGATTTTTTTATTTGATATTGAAATTCTGTTCTCCATGGTATTGTTGTTTTGTGCTAACTCTTCCCGGAAGATGTCAATGGCTTCCGTAGTTGGGACGCTTATGTGGAGTTTTCCTAGATCAAAACTGAGAAACCGGTCATCTGGGGGATTAAATGATTTTAGAAATGTGTCGAGTCGTTGACAGAACGGATGCTGTCAGTTAAGAGCTACTGGATAATGAGCGCCGTGGACGTGGAAGTTGGTGGGAAATCTATGGAGCTTGTAATTGGTTTTAGTGTTCTTCTTCCACTCCTAGGGTCATTTAAATAGATCTGATATAAAGGGTGTTCATTTTAAAACTTACCATCCCTATTATTTCGGAATTGAAAAAAGTTCTGAAAAATCCCTGAAACACGTCAACTATAGTTTGAATCGGGAAGAGTTTTTATGTAAAATTCATGATTGAAAATTCCGGTTAAATTTAATCTACAGTTAAATTCAAAGTTGGTGTCAAATGATAGTTTATGAAAATTGAAGATAAGAATGTGAGATCGGTTTTCCTCTTATTAACCGTTTAGGGTTTACAGCCTGTCAAAGTTGCAAAAAAGTCAATTTTCAACTGTCAATACTTCCAAAACAGTTGAACTTAGATTAGATTAAAATTAAGTAGTGTATGAAATTAAAAACCCTCCAAATTGATGTATCACTTGACCACCTTCTCATTTAAGATTTTCTAGGGGGTGGCTCTAGGGATTAGGGGGTTGAAAGGGGGAAGGTGAATTTTGCATAAAAACTCGTCTCGCTTCACATTAAAGTTGACGTGTTTCAGGGATTTTTTCGAAAATGTTTCAACTCCGAGATAATAGGGGTGGTGAGTTTTAAAATGAACATCCTGTATATTTTAGATATTCTATTCAATAGTGTTTGTTGAATCTCGATCTATCAAGGAGAGGCCTTTTTTCTATTAAACTTCTTCCAGGTTTTGAGCTCCATAATAAGTGTAGAGCGTTTCCTTTCTCAAGGTTCTAAGCCCTACCTTTTCTTTCCTGGATTTTTTTTTCATTTGTTCACCATTTTCTTTCCAAATTTAGTTCTAATTTTCCACTTGTACTCTGTTGCTGGTGGTTTACGTCTTATAGATCCTACTGCATACTATATCAAGTGTTGCCGGCGTCTCCTCAAGGGTTGTGGCGAAGTTGAGACCTGTAGATAGTGGAAGTTCCTCTTTAGTACTGAAGGCGGGAGTTACTATGACTCTCGGGAGCCCGGCAGGCTGTTGTTGGTGAGGGGCCCGCTGGCGTTGGACGGTACATACCGGACGCCTGCGGTAGGTATACCCCTGCCTCCTAATTCCGTGAACTCTTGAGATTGAGAGATGAGGTTCTCTTTCCCTCAATGAAATTGAACCATAGTAACCTGCGCCCTTATTGGAGACCGGTATGGTGGCAGGAGGAACAAAACACCCAAAACCCTTCACTGGTCCCTCGGGCGTAGCGTGAACTTTACACATGGCGGAGGGGCACTATGTTTCTGGGCCGTTAATATAATAACGGTTCCTAGTCAGTGACTAGACAACGGGTAGTGCCTGTCACCAACTCACGTGCACGCATAAGCTTGATAAGCGATTTCCCCGCACCCACCCCTGTCTTATTGATAAGCGTGTGCGGCCTTGCTACTTGGTATTGTCGATTTTGGCATTAAGTTATATATGCTTTTGTTGGCAAAGCGATATTTGACTTCAATCTATCTTTTTTAAAAAATCGACACAATTAGAACTCAAAATATTTTTCAACGATGCAGTTCCTTTTTTAATTTTTTACAGTAATAACAAGGAACGGAAGCTTTTCGACAATATTGGCAGTTTTTTGCATGAAACCAATCCTAAATATGTTCAGTGATTTGACTGCATTTTGACCAATTCGTGTTACGTCTTTTTCAGGTATCAAGGCTACGTTCCTAATAACGCCGGCTTATCTCCTACAGTCGCTGGCTATGCTTCTCCAATGGATTTTCCAAGCCCCAGCAGCGCTTCAGGCGAACCACAACAGCGCTTTAGCCCTGACAACTACAAATTCAACAACTACCCATATTCCTACCAAACTTTCCCCACCCAAAAATCTCCTTACTCGATGCAAACACCAGATACTAGCCCCACTCACAGCCCCGAACCCAAACCTAGCCCCCAAGAGGAATCATCTTCGAATGTTAGTCAGCAAAATAATGATAAAAAATTGCCAACTCCAGAGCTAAGTCCCCTAGAAGAAGACAATAGAGGATCTAGCATAAATAGGGTACAAACTTTCAAACAAATTTACACCAACACGCAGCCGATTACGGCTGTGCCTATGTCTAACGGCATGTATGTCATGTGCACCAATAAGAGCAGCGTAGAGCAAGGTCACGTGGTCACCGGAACTTTTTATCCACCGGTTGCAACCAGCCAGGATCAGCAAATGCTTGGAATAAGCCAGCCGACTTCAATGAGTTCAGTTATAGCGAATCCAAGTCAATATTACAGTTCTGGAATGGGCTATTATTCACCAAGTTACGAACAACAACAAGGTCAAGACAGCAAGGAGGGATTTATTGGGTAAGAACTTGACGATAATTTATAGCTTGCTTTCCAAAGACACTTAAACACTTCAAAAATCACATTTCTGGCCCAGAGGCAGTAGAATTTAAAAAATTAAATTTTCATTGAATGAGGAAACTGATAATCTCTTGAAAAGTAAATGCCAATGGGCTCTTTCACTAAATTTGAAATAGGTACGTAATTTAACTATAAAATCCTAAAGGAGGGACTATTTTAGACATATATACCACAAAAAAAAAAGATCTACAACGTTAAACAAACTTTTTACATGCACTTCAAAAATCGCCAAATTCAAAATGATTAAAACGCGCCAGGTGATGACGCCATCCGAATAATTTCCATTTGTCCGAATCAAAATGTAGAATCTCGCTACTCCTTCAAAGCGCTAATAACCGGCAACGCTGTCGCTGATATCTGCCTGTTGCTGCCTACATTCACATTCTATTTTGCACTCGTTCGCACTGCATCTAGAACAAGATTGAGGTTGAATATTTGTTTATAATCACATTTTTTGTTGGAATTTCTTTTTAATGGGCCACTTTCACGTGTCGGAAATATGGCAAATTATGATATTTTTTGACGCAGATACATCAATGCAACCGAGAATGAACAATATTTTGCAAGAGTTTAGTCAGATTATTAAATAAATTAATAAATAAAAACTAAAAATTTAAACGAAAAATCACGTGATTGAAAACGCTCTCTGATTGGCTAAAGCCGATTTTGACGTTTTTGTTGCCACATGTAGAAATGTGAAATTTAAATGAGTTAATAAGGATTATAGCTATCCTTTATTTTTTTATAATGTAGTAAAGGACGAAAATAGTTTCTAGCTAGTGAAATGTGTAATGATTTACTAATGAGAAATTTGGCATCCTCGCATTTTTGTTGATTTTTCTGGTTTGTGACGTCACAAACCAAGTTCGTGTTTTCGCGCCAGTTTAAAAATTCGATTTTTAAATCTTTTTTTTTTCAAAAATAAGCGTTTTTTTTTTCGGAAAAAAAGTATACAGATAGTATTAGAATGACTAAAAGAATAATTTAAATGTTTTTGAAAAATGTGAAAGTGGCCCATAAGTTAGATTATGGTCACAAAAAAATGACACACAACAAAAATAGAGGGTAAATCAACTCGCCAGAAGAACAAAACAAATAACAACTGTTTGCGAGCAGCTGACTCTGACTCCAGACAAGAACGATAAACCACAGGGTTGCAATCACGATAGACGCCCGGGCGCACTCCGGGCGCGCTCCAGCGTCCGCGGATAGTCGTTCACGAATCGGGATCCTTCAACCTGGTGAAATTACACCAGCGTTCACAATCGGCTAGATAAAATTTGCTCGACATGCGCGATAGTTTCATGGTGTTTTTTTTGTTTAATTCTGAGACCATCGCAACGTTTTTAAAAAAGGTAGCTGGATCCATGATCAAATACGAATCCAATTCACAAAGAAAATGAAGACATAAACGACGAATGTACGTGATTCAAAATCAAAACATAAAACATATGGATGAGATAACAAATGTCACAATTCACCTTGATTGGGGCGTTGCTTAACTCAGTTAAGTCAATCCAACTCGAGTGAGATTTACCTAGGGAGAATATAAGCCGGGTTGTCGAATCGTGAATGCACCCCTGAGGATGGGCACATCGGCGATTTTTTTCGGCCAGTTTAGCGCGAGCACGCGCTGCTGTAGTGACGTCACCTGACCCACTCAAAACAAGTTTTATGCGGAATTGGTATAGGAGGATAATATAATTGAGCCATTAATGATGTTATTTGGCTTTTAATGCAATAAATTTCGACAAATTTTATATTAAACTTAAAAACAATGTAACTATACCAAATAATCATTGGATTTAGTGGGCCGGAGTACGTCATGCGCTGTCACCGGTTCGGCTGTGTTGCCGTCTAGTGAAAGGTTCGAATGCGCTGATGCCGGTTGTGACTGAATGTAGTGCGACGTGAAAAAAATAAATGAAACTAAATATAAAAAATAGATTTAAATTATGTATAAGCATAATTTAAAAATAAATGTTATAAAATCTTGAGTCCATAACTAATTAATTTAACTATTTTTCATGGTATTTTGTCAACATTTTAGAATTAAATCTATTACAAATTTTCAATGTTGACAATTAGTGGCAAAATGTCAAGCTGTGACGTCATACGGATAAATTCTGGGTTTTTATTTGGAGGTATTTTTTTCCTATTTTCTCAAGAAGAGACTATGAATCTTTCAGAAGTAAAAATACAGAAAATTCTGTTTTCAGTTGCTTTATCCAAATATGCCAATTTCAAAAATTGGTGAAGAAGCCCATTGTATTTAATAAACCCATTGCTTACAGGTGCAAATTAATGAGCATACGAATACGAATCTACTTGGCCACTATAAACGATTCAACTCTGAACTATTGTATTTGTTATACTCTCGGCATCAGCGACACAATATCTATTCTTGATTAATTTGCTTTACAACAGGACTACCAGAATTCCCAAGATCTTCGTCTTTCATCCAGTTCTGTTCCAATTTAATCTGTTTTGCCGTTATGTACGCATTTATTCGCGATTTTGGGAAACATTTCGTGGTAGATCATTATGTAGAATTGAATTCTTTCTTTTTGAATATATAGATTTCATGTAAATAACAACACTAATTTACCGCCGGCTGGATGAGCTTATTTTCTACTTCTATTAGGAATAAAACCCCGAATTTGGAACTAAGAGAAACTGCTTAACAATCAGTGAATAGACTACATTTTCTTTTTCAACTTGAAAAAAATGAATTTAAACTGTCTACAGTACTGGCCCAAAAGGCGCCCACAAGGGGTGGCAAGGGGGCACTTGCCCCCCACTGGATATTCCTTCTTTTTTTTATATTTAAAAAATCTTCATAATATTCCATCGAGCATCAAGCCCACAATTTTTTAAAAATCGCTGAAAATTCTGCTATTAAATTTTTGGTTGAAAGCTCCGACGCCCACGTTTGCGAAGTTAATTTATTATGGTGCCTGACATATATAATAATTGGTAATTTTAATAAAATCCCTAGCTATTAATTTTTGTGTAGGTAGCCCAGATAAGGTCTGGTCAATTATTGGGCGATTTAGGAAGTGATTTGTTTCTCAATTCAATTTTTGAAAAAGCAAGCCAAAAAAATATTTTTTTGGGCGTGGCACCCGAAAAAAAATCTGCTTCCGGTGGCAACTTCGGTGGGCATTCTTCCTAGGACAAGAGGATGGTTGAAGGGCATCTGGTCTAAAGGTTCACTTGCAAACTCTTTCTATAACTTAGTGATGTCAGCCACATTTTTTGAAGAAACATTAATGTGTAGGACTGAATAAATGACAATATTGGGAAAAGTTTTCGATGAAAACTATTTTTTTCATCAGGTGAACTGTATCCGTAGAGAAACCTATATGCAGGCAGAGATATAGGTTTCTGATAACCGAGCCCAAGATGCTTCTGAGTTAAATTAATAATGTTTTAATTTGTTCCGAGAAATATTCGGACAGAACAAGATCTGGTTGATGGTTTGTTTGGGATTTAAGGATTAGGTATTTGGATTTAACAGTGTTGTCGAGGGTGGAGTTCTAATTTTGTTGACTGTCTAGTGCAATTGTTAATTTAATTGCACTCTGTAATTACTTCAGTATTCCTAGTGGATCGTTTCAAGCTTTTCTTTTTTGTGTTCCTACTCTTTGGATGTTCGAAGACTAATTGCATTTGGGTTTGGATCTTTCTAGCGGAATTTGGGTTTAAGCGCCAGTCAACGTGGTTTCCAGGTTTCTCCTTTACTTTCGATGTTATGCGACCTGGCTTGGACAATATTTTAAAAAATAAATATTTGGATAGTTTCCTCTTAAGACTTTTGCTGGCTCCACCAAGATTCTAAATAGTCTTAGGATTGCATGGTTGCCAGATAACCCAGGTTAATTTGAATTGTGTACTGTTTTGTCATTGTGTCTCAGATTTTTGAAATAACTTAGTGAGTGTAGATGTGATCTGCTGATTTGTTTACCTGGAATTTGGTATTACCATTTATAGAACAGTACGAAAATTAATTTTTACTAGCTACTGGCGCTAATGACTTGTAAAATTGACAGCTGAACTGTAAAAACTTTTTACAAGTCAGTAGAATTATTTATTTTTAATAAATCAGTTTTATCACAAGAATAATATTGTTGGTGGAAGACTTTCCTGTTGATAAACTACGACGGCGGCTTCTTTATTAATAACCTCTGACACATACATTGCTGAAAAAAATTGGTAAAATGCAAATCAGTCAGAAATTTTTTTACATTATTTATAGCTATAAAGAACGACCTTAAAGGGGGTGTAACCCTAAAAAACGACTCAAGCTACTTAAATCAAGAAAAAAAAATCTAAAATCTCTCGTGATAACCGCAGTCCTATATTCAAAACAGTCTCCGAGAAAATTCCTTGTGAAGATAAATTATGCAAGAACTTGTGATGTCACAACCGCCGAAATCGCAGTCTTCTGTTTGTTCAGTCGTCAGTGAACCGTACCTTATACTTTGAGTGGTTGCAATTCGCTCTAGTGAGATAATTGTCTTTTGTTTTGGAAAATTTTACACGTGTTAATACTGTGCCTGATAATTCGGTGTGACGTCACAAACACGTAGTTGTAACTTCAAACCGCCCTAACTCGAAAACGGACCATCGTAGCAAGATGCGGTTCAAATATTTATTCTTAGATTTTTTTGCACTAAAACTTTTATTTTGGGTCACACCCCCTTTAACCTCTCGTTGTCTCATAGATATATTATACCAAAGGCTTGTATAAAAAAATCACAGAAAAAAAAAATGCATTTTAAAATTCATTGTCTATTAATTGGTTTTTTGTACCTCTCCACCTTACAAATGAGTAAAAGCTAAATTATTGTACATCATACGCCAGGTAATCAGTGGCGTAACTACAGGGGGGCCTGAGGGGGCCGGGCCCCCCCCCCCAGACGTCGCTAGGCCCACCC